GAAAATTTTTTAAAAGTCTTTGTTGACCCAAAACAGTAGTACTATTATTTGGCTCAGTCTCCAAACAGAACAAAATTTTGTTCATACAACCTAGCGGGTGACCGCTTATGATCTCTGTGCTCTATTTGAACCTGGTGTCATTTGGTTTACTACAAAAGCTACTACCTCTTTTTCAAAGGTGCCTGAACGTTTTCCTTTTGTTATTTCTGGTTCCCACTGATACCCAAAAGTAGAGGGTAGCGAAAAGGTCCATGTTGGGGTTCTGTGTGACAGAATACAAATGGAATGGTACTCGATTAATGATTTACTTACATGTGCGTTTATTTTTGTATATTTGCATCCTCATGAGCCTCTTCAAGAAGTAATGTTCTTAATAAGTTTTCTCATTTTTACAGAGTTACTTTTTCAAAGAAAATACCTTGCAGTGAAATTACACTTAAGGAAGAACCTTGGTTGCAATCACACAAGCTTGAAGCATTGCGCTGAGAGGGCGTAACAGTAAAACAATGGAGCTTGTCACCCTTCCCAAGACATTCTCACACGAATAAGACGATGCAGATGAAGGGTGCAAAGCCACATTCATTATTACTGAAATAAAATATACCGGCATGTTACTATCTTGAGCCATCTAAACAAACAGGAAAAGGTGGGTGGGGAGAGAGTAGCACAATTTGCATAGCCTGTGTTCCTGAATTTAGAGCAGCACTTTGATGTGTACATCTTTGGTTCCTTGCACACCAAGGGATGCAAGCACATGAAACCCTCTAACATACCCCCAAATGCTTCAGGAATTCCCATGCTCTGGGTAACTCTTTGCTTTTCATAAAATTTTGTTGCTAACAAATACACTGGTAACCCCCATTCTCAGCAGAGTAACCGCTTCCAATCAGTACAGAGATGGATTACTTTGTGAAACCTGGCAAAGAAAAAATGAGTCCCGTGCTGACTAATGGAGACAGTGCATGCTGTGTCTCTCTCTGCATTTCCACCAACTCTCCCACACTAGCCAGCTGTGAGGAACACAGTACAGATTTGCTTTGACATCACTCCAGTAATTCCTTGTAACATACGTCACCACTGAAAGAAATCCCCAGTGGGTCATCTCTTCCACGCTCGGGCTGCCTACCTGTATGTCAGGTGCACTACCTCACTGAACAGTGGCCTGCCCCAGGAGAGCAGACTGTTGAAATGGGAGAGCAGGTGCTCAGCTCTGGGGAATGCCTGGCTGGTGTCTGGACCGGCAGAGGAGAGCTGTGATGGCTTAGGAAGCTTGTGCCTGGTATCAAACTAGTTAATCCCATGTTTTCTGCCATAGTCTGGACTTTGGCGCTGTTCAAACAGCCAAATTTGCCAAGGTAATTCCTTACCACCTGGATGCTCGGAGGATCTCATACCCAGACCCATGGCTCATCTTGTGTCCACTCTTCCCTCCACCCCCCCAATCACAGAAGAATAATAGGTCTCTCAGTAAAGCAAGTCAGAAAACGGAACTCCCTTCTAGTCAAAAACCCTGTGTCTTCACCCCATAGGCAAAAAAACCCACAAAAACCTCACAAAGGGAATTCCAGGGAAAAAAAAAAGGCATGTTGAGAGACCAAACCAGATTTCTCTGTTTCCTGAGTGCCCATCTGGAACAGACTTGTCATGTTCATTGTTTTTTCCTTGGGGTGGGCAGTGAAACCAGCTGCAGCCATGCAGCTCAGCGCTAGTAAAGCAAAGAGCTGGGGACCTCCTGCGCCACAGTTTCCTTTTCCCTCCCAAGCGCCAGGTGCCCTGGGGAAGGGTGGGATTGAAGGAAGCTGTGAGGAGGTCAAAAGCAAGAGCAGCCAGAAAATCATGGCTTGTCTTCTCAATGGCAGGGCTTAATCATTTCTACAGAAAGGGCATTCCTTCCAGGATATCATTCTAATATAAAATTTCCTACCAGATAACCCTAGCAGATGTCCTGAACTGGGTTTTCCTGACTGCTTTGTGTCAGCGTGGGAGGGAACACATAGAAACTCACCTCCGCAGTGATCTGGGGCAGACAAGTCACGGAGAGTTAGGGATTATATTTTCAGAGTTGCAAAAAAGGACTAGAGATCCAAGTCCCCCTGAAATCCGTTGCCCTGTGTATCTTGTTCCAGTGATACATCCCTGGAACTACAAGTATTCAGCCGGCTTGAACATTTCCAGTAAATACCTGGAAAAACACCATCTGGGATTCTCCTTTTTGATTTTCCTTTCCTTCCTTTCACCACACTCTGCAGACGTTCCAGCCTGGAAGGAGTGAGTGGGGCCGCATCTGCAATCCAGCCTCAGTGCCTGCCTGACCTTCTGATCCAAAATGTTAACACCCAAATGAGGATCCATCTTTTCCCTTCTTGTGTTTGATATTTCTCAGTGATTCCTCCTAGATGGGCACAGCAGTCACATTCTGCTTTCAACTCTATTCGGAGTCTTCGCTGAGGAGCGACTCTGTGAACCCTGCTGCTTTCATTCCCACCCCTGGCCATCTCCAGCATTCTCCCGATGCGCAGTGCCCTGCTTTCTTGTTGTTTGACTGAAGAACCAACTCAGGTATGCAGAAGACTTTGAAGAATATGAGTGAAAAGATTTCTTTAAATACAGTGGCTTAGATCAGGAGAGGCAAACAGATGAGACTCGGGGCTCTCTGCTAGCTCAGTGGTGATGGGCTCATGCTTTGTCCTGCATTCCCCTAGCTGCCTGTCACCAGTCTTCCAGCCATTTCCTGGAAAGCAACCAACTGATTGTGTTCCCGCTTTGCTATGGCCATAAACAATGACAAACTTGGCTCGTCTGGCACCGCTCTGCTGAGCCTTATCTGGACCCCCTTGCAACCCCCGATGAAGAAAGCTCCATCCTGCCTAATTCTTTGTACATGGGCTGTAAATACCTGAAGATATGTTTTGTATGAGTGAGGTGCCATGGAGGCTGTGACTTTGCGACTATTTCTTCTGGCAGTCTCATGCCAACTCTCCATAAGTCACTTTGGCAAGCTGGCAGCTTCCAGCATCTGAAAGCCGAAAATAGGAAAGGGCATTTGCAGGGCTGTGATATGATGTGTGCTTGGCTTTAAAAAGGATCACAAACTTAAGGCAGTGGAGAGCAAAAAGGCATACCAGTATCACCATGGTTATGTGACATTAAACAAACCACTTGTCATGATACACAGCTGACTACTTGCCAAATGGAACAGGATCTTCTTATTATTCATTGTTTTGCCCTGCAAAACCTGCACAACCACAGGAAGGAAAAATCTCCAGAAAGGTACTGTCACTTTTCTGACCATCCCTGGCCATACTAGAGGTCCTGATTCAATGGCAACTCCCAGACGTCCACCTAATCACAAGCATTTGAAGACCAAAAGGTGAAATCTTGGTGGGCACCCTACTTAATTGCTGCAGGAAAAGGAGCTGCAGGATGAGGTCACTTCCTCAAGGTAACTCTGGCACTTGTAAAGCTTCCTGTCCCCTCAGGGCTTCGATTCCATCCCTGCTGTCCCTCACAGCTGGCGTGTCAGCTGGGTGTTCTTCTGGTGTCTTGTACGTGCCCACCCACTGCCGCCCGCCCGCATGGGTTTGCTAAGGACTGCACCAGCCATGCTGGGAATTGCCCTTCTCCTCTCATCCGCCCCACCTCGCTGCACCCAGTAACCCAGCTCTGCCTCCATCCCAGGGGGAGATGAGGTGGAGCTAACCCTCCTTTTGGTTTCACCTTCATAGTTCACTGCAGCCAGGTAAGGGCCCACCCAAAAGGGGGCAAGGGGGCTGCCACATGGACAGCATCCCATTTGCCCTCACCTGTGCCTCCCCAGGGAGGACCTCCTGCACCGCCGTGTCCTTGTGGAGTGCATGGAGGAGCAGGAACCCCATCTCAGCCTACATGATGGCCACTTTGACCTCAAAAGAGGAGCACACAATTCCTTGTGTCCGGGGAGGGTATCCTGCCTACCGCTGCCCCCTCGGCGTGCCTGTGGGCAGCTGAAAGGGGGAAAGCTGAGAGGGGGAGCAGAAATCCAGGTGAAGGCACTGTTGAAAATAGGCCACCATCCAGCGATTCCCAGCTACTTCAGCACGGCTGCCCATGATCTGGAGCAGCAGGCAGCAGCGCTGGTCTCGGGGGGGGGGGGGGCGGGGGGGTGCACACGCGTGGCCCTGCCGGGGCGGTGCTGCAAGGCAGGGTGCTGCCGGCCACGGGGGACTGATAGGGGACCTGCCCCGCCACGGCAGTCACTTTTGCAAAGCGTGGACCCACCCGCGCGCCGCATGTTCTGTCCTTCTTTGCCATTCCAAGAAAAACAATCCTAAATAACGCTAATAAAGCCCACCAAGCCGGCCAAGGGCAAGAGTGGGTGGGCACTCGCCCTGCACACCGCGGGTGGCTGTGGGGCAAACACGAGGGATGGAAGGAGGGGGGCGGGGGGGAGAGTGTGCCGGCACCCCCACACACACCTCCCGCATGCAGCGCCCGTGTCTGTGGAAAAAGGTGGATCTCGGATCTCGCCTCCGGGAGAGGGGCCGGCCCCGGGGGCGCCCACGCGGGTCCGGGGGACTCACGCCGGCGGGGCCGGGCACCTGCACCGCGGCGGGACCGGGGGGTCGGGACCTCGCCCT